GTCTTGTTTATGTGATCCCTTTGACTCTTAGTCCTATCATTATGATCAACTGTGAACAGAAATTGATCACTTGGACTAGTGAGATGGCATTGGTACATGCCACCTTGAAGGGATTGAATTGGTTCAACTCTACCATTTGGGGCAAGTCAGCTTGAGCATGTCCCAAATTGCACATCTCTTCCCTCTCTTATTCCACTCTGTAATTAACACACAATTATTCTTAGGTGTTTAAATTTTAACTGAAAAGTGATCCCTATTAGGAATTTGGAAAACATTATGCTGAGTGAAATAATCCAGACCCAAAGGGACAAATATCTTATGTTCTCCCTGATCAGTGACAACTAACTGAGCACCAAAAAGGAAACCTGTTAAAGTGAAATGAGCACTATGAGAAATGGTGACTTGGTCAGCCCTCACCCTGACTGTTGATGAGCAACTTGATATGTTATCCCTCTTAATATTTTTTTTGTTTGTTCTACTTAATACTTTTGTTTGAATACTGTAATCAATACACAGTTATTCTTAAGTGTTGAAACTTAACTGAAAAGTGACTGCTGGTAAATATAAGAGTGGGAAAAAGAGAGGGAAGAGATGTGCAATTTGGGACATGCTAAGGTATAATTTTTTGCATCATTGATTATTTGATTTTTTCAAACTATGCAAGATTTATTACTGCCAAGCAATCCAAATGGCTCTTGCAATTAAATTGAACTTTTATGTAATTATCCTCTAAAAATCAAATTACAAATATATTTATTTTGAGATTGAAATTATACAATAAAGGGTAGGATGGTTGGCATAGAAATTAAGACACCTTCATCCCATACTGGAGTGTCTGAATTCCAGCTACCTGCCAATGCACTCTTGGAATGACGTATCAAGTGATTGGGTCCTTGTCATCCACATGGGAGACAGGGATTGAGCTCCTTGCTCCAGGCTTCAGCCTGGCCAATCCCCAGCCATTGTGGGCATTTGAAGAGTGAACTCAAGGCTGATAAAAAACTTCTAAGATCAATCCTATTCAAATAACTAAAAAAAAAGTTGGAATAAATTTAGCCAAGGATGTCAAAGATATCTATGATGATAATTATAAAACATTAAAGAAAAAAATAGAAGATACAAAAAATGGAAAAATCTTCCATGTTCATGGATTAGAAGAGTCAATATCATCAAAATGTCCACAATCCCAAAAGCAATTTACAGACTTAAAACAATACAAATCAAAATCCCAAGGATGTTCTATTTGGATGTAGAAAAAATGATGCTGAAATTCATATGGAAACACAGGAGACCTCAAAGAGCTAAAGCAATTTTACACCAAAAAGCCAGAGGCATCATAATACCAGATTTCAAGATATACTATATGGCAGTTATAATCAAAACAGCCTGTTACTGGTACAAAAATAGATAGATAGACTAATGGGACAGGACAGAAATGCCAGAAATCAGTCCAAGTATCTACAACCAACTTATATTTGACAAAGGTGCTAAAATCAACCCCTGAAGCAAGGACATTCTCTTCAGCAAATGGTGCTGGGGAAACTGGATCTCCACATGCAGAAGCATGAAGCAAGACCCCTACCTTATACCTTACACAAAAATCTACTCAAAATGTATTAAAGATCTAAATCTACAAGCTGATACCATCAAATTATTAGAGAACATTGAGGAAACCCTACAAGACATTGGCACAGGCAAAGAGTTCTTGGAAATGACCCAAGACGCACAGGCAATAAAAATCAAAATTAACAAATGCTATTACATCAAATTGAAAAGCTTCTGTACAGCAAAAGAAACACTTAGGAAAGTGAAGAGGCATACGACAGAATGGGAGAAATTATTTACAAACTATATGAATGACAAAGGATTAATAACCAGAATATTTAAAGAGATCAGGAAACTCCACAACAAAACAAACAACCCTGAAAAGAAATGGGCAAAGGACTTAAACAGATTTTTTTTTATTTTTACTTTTTTCATTTGTCAGGCAGAGTTAGACAGTGAGAGAGAGAGAGAGAAAGGTATTCCTTCTGCTGGTTCACCCCCAAATGGCCACTACAGCCAGCACGCTGTGCCGATCCGAATCCAGGAGCCAGGTGCTTCCTTCTGGTCTCCCATGTGGGTTCAGGGGCCCAAGCATTTGGGTTATCCTCCACTGCCTTCCCAGGCCACAGCAGAACGCTGGACTGGAAGAGGAGCAACTGGGACTGGAACCCAGGGCCCATATGGGATGCCAGCACTGCAGGTGGAGGATTAACCAAGTGAGCCAGGGCGCCAGCCCCAAACAGATATTTTTCAAAACAGGAAATCCATATGGCCAACGTACACATGAAAAAGTGCTCAGGATCACTAGCCTTCAGGGAAATGCAAATCCAAACCACAGTGAGGTTTTTACCTCACCCCAGTTAGAATGGCTATCACCCAAATATCAAAAAATAAAAAATGCTGTGAGCATGTGGGAAAAAAGGTACTCTAATCCACTGCTGGTGGGAATGTAAATTGATAAAGCCACTGTGGAAGACAGTGTGGAGATACTTCAGAAATCTGAATATAGACCTACCATATGACCCAGCCATCCATGCCTGGGAATTTACCCAAGGGAAATTAAATCAGCATATAAAAGAGTTATCTGCACTCTCATGTTTATCACAGCTCAGTTCACAATAACGAAGACATGGAATCACCCCAAATGCCCATCAACTAAAGACTTTATAAAGAAATTAGGGGATATGTATACCATGGAATATTACACAGTGGTAAAAAAAAAATGAAATCTGGTCACTTGCAACAAAATGGATGAATCTGGAAAACATCATACTTAGTAAAATGAGCAAGTCCAAAATGGGCAATACCATATGTTCTCCCTAATCTGTGATAACTAATAGAGCACCTAAAAGGCAATCTGTAAAAGTGAAATTGACACTTTGAGAAGCAGTAACTTGAACAGACCTTGTCTTGAATGTTGAAGAACAGTTTTTTTTCATACTATTTGTTGAACTCTGCTTAACAGAGAGTTAAACATATGTGTATAATAAAGTCAATTGAAAACAGATTTCAGTAAAAAATAAGAGTGGGAATAAGAGAGGGAAGAGAAAGAGGGGTGAGAGGAGGTATGGGAGGGCAGGCACGATGGGAAGAATCACCATGTTTCTAAAGTTGTAATTATGAAGTGTATGAAGTCTGTAACTGTAAAGCTGCATAGTTCTGCATACAGTCTTATGGACTTACTTCTAAGGGTACAGTTTAAAAAATTGCAAACTGTTGAAATCTTTACTTAATGTATACTAAACTGATCTTCTGTAAAAAAAAAAAAAAAAAAAAAAAAAGAAGAAGAAGAAGAAGAAATTATCAATTCCCAACTTGACTCTCACTGGGATTAAACATGACAATAGGTCTGATCTGATTTCATCATCATTTAAAAAAATCATCTATTATTTTTCACTTTATTTAATGTATGCTAAACTGATCTTCTGTATATAAAGAGAATCGAAAATGAATCCTCATGTGAATGGAAGGGGAGAGGGAGTGGGAAAGGGGAGGGTTGCGGGTGGGAGGGACGTTATAAGGGGGAAGCCATTGTAATCCATAAGCTGTACTTTGGAAATTTATATTCATTAAATAAAAGTTTAAAAAAATGTAAAAAAAATCTAAAAACAAATAAAAAAATTGCCATGGGACCCCAAATATCTTTAAACTGGGTGGTTAAATACCATCTTAAGTGTTAAATATGGATAGGATTAAGTGTTAAAGTGATCATATAAATAGGATTAAGTATCTGGTAATAATAACAGATAGAATTAAAAAAGAGCAAATGTTCCAACATGGATAGCAGTCCACACAGCAGACTCATAGAATGACAATTGCTTTAAGTAGCACACTGACTTCAGAATCAGCCCTTAAGACATTCTGGTCTGGCTGAAAAGCCCATGGGAGCATCTCAGGCATGGAAGCCAAGACACTGTGGCAAAAAAGTCCTACATGAAGGAGCTCTGTTGGTGAGACCTCAGTGGAAAGAAGTACTCATTAAAGAAGGAGGTACTTTTCTCTGAAGGGAGGAAGGAACTTACACTTTGTTTAAGGCCTTGTCTAAATATTGATGGAGTTTATGGATTTAAAAGGCTTCCATAGCCTAGGCCGCTCATGTCAAGAGTGGTCACTGACGTCATCCATAAGAGTGTAATTGTTAAATTAACAACAGGAATCACTGTGTGCTAACTTCAATATGCAATGACTTTGAATAGCTCTTGTCTTGCCTGTTGAGGAACAGTTTGTGTGTGTGTGCATGTGCACAAATTGTTGAACTCTTTACTTAGTATAGAGTTGGTCATCTATGTATAAAGTTAATCTAAAATGGATCTTAGTGGTGAATGAGGCTGGGAACGGGAGAGAGAGGAGGAGGAAAGGTGGGAGTGTGGGTGGGAGGATGTGTATGGTGGGGAGAATCACTATATTTTTTAAGTTATACTTATGAAATGCATGAAGTTTGTTTTTCTTAAATAAAAGGTTTCTTTGCAAAAAAATTTTAAAAAATAAAAAATTTTCAAAAGAGTGAAGCAGTGGATGGGAGTTCTCTTTCTCTTTCTCTCTCTCTCCCCACCCCCTCTTCCTTTTTTCCTCTTGAATTTAAAAAAAAAAAGTATTTTTTTTTAAAGACACTGGGCAGTAAATCAATTTTTGTGAAACTCTAGCATTAGTTAACCTAGGTTAATTAAATTCTTAACTAGTCCATATAAGTATTAGATTTTATGATGATTTCCTGGTGAAACATTTCATTACATAGACTAGTTCACCTATGTTACACCACTTGTTTACACCCATAAAACTCTCCATTGCCGGAGAATAATGATCATATTATCTATAGATATTTTTAATCCCTTTGCTTTCACTTCCCATTCCCTCCCCCTCCCTCTGTTTAAAGACTGTGGTTTGGAGCAGTGACAGCGATAGCCTAAGAATGACGCATCTCAGCGAATGTTCTGGCTTTTTACAACTAAATAACTCTTGCTTAGATTACCAAGAGGGTTTGGTTGTGTTCAGATCATGCACAGCCAATTCACTGAATATTTTTCTTCCTTGATAGGGGTTAGCATCTCTCTGTTGGAAGCAAAGCAGAAACGTGCCTATACCCTCAGCTACTTACAAACTTCATCATGAACATTTCACAATGATTGTATTTATTAAGATTGTATGCATGATAATATTAGAATTGAGAAACAGTTGAAACCCTGATGCAACTTCAGGCATGATGCTATGATCTGACAGTATCATCAATGAGTACATTTTGAAAAGAAAGATAAAAATGAAATAGCTGCATTATAAAGAGATTCAGCATATTCTCTTCAAAGTTTCCAATGAGGTACGGCTCCTTCACTTCATTAGGAAGGGGGGATGGGAATCAAAGGAGGTTGACAGTTGGTTGATGTGTATGTCTGGCCACTAAATCATTGCATTCATGCTACGACCTCCTATGTGCTCCCATTAAATCCCATTCAGCTCCTGGGGTAATATATGTACTGTAGCCCATGACTGGGTTATCGCTCTTCCTTCCCTGTTAGGTTCTCACAAACTCACAGTCCTCTAGGCTTTCATTTTTATTTTTAATACAGAGAGATCTTGAAACACAAAATGTTGAGAAGAAAAAAGGAAGCTGTGGACAGATAAGTAGACTGTGATACACAAGGAGTCTTCAAAATGTTCATGAAAAATGCATATTATAAAAAATACTAAGCATGGATTTCAAGGACTTTTTGCACCAAAATGAACTTATCTTTTAATCCCATCTTTCTACAAACTCCTTGAAGTACTGTCGTACTATATATTTACATAAAATTATATTTTAAAATTCACGCAAATCTCATGGTAAAAATAGCAGCCTCTGGGACAGATTCAGGAGGCATGGGACAGAGGTTGGTTATAAAAGGGGACTTTTACTTCCTCTGTAAAATGTTGCTTCCTCACCTCAATTAGAGGTGTGAAATCTCTAATTATTTGGGAAGGTATTAGGGCACGATAGGATCCTTGGAATGTCCCTGCATTTGTTTAAACATAATGAATAGACAGCACCGATGGAAGAAAGGGTTCAGTTTGCAGGAACTGGAGTGAAACTCCCTGGGCTTAAATCTGCCACTTACGTGGCCATCAGCAGGTTGCTTAACCCAGTGCCTCAGTTTCCTAAACCAGAAAATGGTATTCATAGTAAATAGTACCTGTCTTTTTGGCTTATTGTGAGAACTAAATTGGATCCTCCATGAAAAGTGCTTAGAACAGTGCTTAGGTCAGAGCAGGTCTTCCAAAAATTATGATGAGTAATTACTGTAATGTTTTTCTAAGTCTTTAATTAAAGGGACTGCTATGAAATAGATTTCCACTGGAAAAATACTGAAGCAATGTGTACCAAAAAGCAATTACAAACATGTTGAATCATTTAAGGAAAACTAAGAACTGGCATGTAGATAAAATATTTCCATATTTCAAGTATTAGGAAGCCACTTCCTTACAATTCACAATTCTACTTTTTGTCATTTAGTAAGACTGTCAGCAATTCAGCTAGCTGATCTTTCTCTCCTATGTTTTTTACAACATCTTTCTGTCTCTGTCTGAATCCACGCGGCACAACGCAAGGCGTTCTGAACACAAACACAGCGAGGATGCATTTCTTCTCCGGCGACAGTAGCTTCAGTATTAACTGAAAGGCAGGGTGGATAATGTGACACGCGCTTTACTTTCAGCAGACTTGTTAATATCAGCTCTGAATTTTTCATGATGGCTTCGGTAACCTGTAGCCCGGAGTTGAAGCTCTGGGGGTTTCTACCACAAAGAGGTGGATCAGCTGAGCTCTCACTTCCCATCTGGCACTGGGTGACAGGGACAGTCAGGGGGGGCTGCAGGAAACCTGGAGAAGAAGAAAGCTGACGTGGGACAGCCATTGTAGTGCATCAAAGGCTAAACATGCGCTGTTGTATGGATGTATCTTTGAGACACTTGTTCATCAGTGGCTTCAGAATATCCTTAGCCAGTGTGTTTAACTTTATAGTCACAAGAACAGCTGCCGCTCGTGTAAGTAATACCCTCGTACCCAGTGGCATCCTGATTCGCCAAGCCAGATTCAGGTCCCGTCTTTAGTGACTGTCCTACCCTGCCTGGCCCAGGCAGGCGTCCACGTGCAGGCACACACGCAGGCACACACCACAGAGATGCCGAGCGGTTGAAATCAAAAACCATCTAAGCTATTCCCCAAAGGGAACGAAATGATCCCGAAGCTCTCACAAAAGCTGTATTTTATGTCTGAGAAGTCAAAAAGAGGAAGTGTGGGGACAAGGGGAGGCTCAAGTATATTCCTGTATGAAGTTAAAAATGTTAAAATGTTTTTAAATACAAAATTTGAGCGTTTACCTTTCTGATTTTTTATGTTTCTTTTTTTAAATACTGAAATATATACTTGCCCTGTCATTTGTGGGAAGTCATATCACCATAAACTTGATTTTATTTTTAGTAACTGTAGCAATTGGAATTTGTTCTCCCCACACCCAAACTACAATTCTTAGAATGCAGTCACAGTTTATAAGGATACCAGGAAGACATTCTCTTGATTGCAGTGTTTTCTTGTGAGGTCATGAAGTTCTGTTCTATGAAGAAAAACTTGAAGTAAATAATTTTCAGTTGATTCTTGGAAGAGATGGACTGTGTACAATGAGACGTATCGCTCCACCTGTGAATGAGAAGCAATGAAAAAGAGTGACTATACTCCCTGTCACTAGAAGCTTTTTTTTTTAATTATTCGTCAGTGGAAAGAACCAGACCAACCTTTTAAAACTAATTATTACCTTAATTTTCTTCTTTAGTTTTTTCTTGCTATTTTCAGCCTATCACTACAAGATTTCTCTTACTGAGGTACACTTCATTCTTGCTTTTGAGGAGGGACTATATTTTTCAAAAGTTCATTGACATTCTCACTTTTTAAAAGATCTAACAGAGGTTGACTTTCAATATAAAAGTGTGTTAAAATAGTACAACAAGGTGCACACGTGTAGCAAAGTGATAGAAATCAAACTGTTGGGCAAATTTATTGCAGCAAAATAATTAAGATATTAAACCGTTAACTATCTACAATCACGAACTCAATACACGTGGATGAAATTCTTCAACCATACACCAACTTGGGTGAAATCTACAGACAGATGCCCTCGTGTTTCTTTGTGCACAGACCAACATGTTCACAGTCTTGAAAAAAGGATTATGATTGGTGATTCAATAATCTGAAATGGTTTATAAGTGTTTTTCCCATTATATTTATTGCAGAGAAATCCTAAAGCATTTAGTCAGTGAAAATGAACTATTTCTCCCCGTGGAAGTTACTCATCTAGCAAATATATGTCCTTGAAAAATAGCCATCCAGTTGTCCAGCCAAGCTTTCTCTGATGTGTGCAGGATACCAGTCTACATGCTCTCCATGTAGAAACTCCATGGCACTTGGATTGTACCTCTCTAACAGCCACAGACACTATTCTGACTGGTGCATTATAGCCATTTGGACAAAAATCTTACCAGAAATAGGCTTGAGTTCCAGTCTACCTTCTAGTAGTTCTATGACTGTGGGGGAATTTTCTTAGATCATCTGGCTCTTCATTTCCTCATCTGTGAAATGGAGATGATAATATCTTTAACATAGAATTGTAGCTGGGAAGGAATGAGATTCAAAGTTGAGGTTGAGCATGTGACTTGTGCCTGGGCACCAGCATTAGTTCCCACCTGCCTTCCCCTCATTAGCAACAGGGCTCATCTATCCTTATGAGTGTTAGCAGCTCCTGGCAACACACCTTGCATGGAATAGCCAAACTACATCTCTTACTCTTTTTAAATTTTTAAAATATATACTAAAAGCTACCTATAAGAATTTTATCTGGGGCCGGCACTGTGGCACAGTGGGTTAAAGCCCCGGCCTGTAGCACCTGCACCCTATATGGGTGCTGGTTCAAGACCCAGATGCTCCACTTCCGAACCAGCTCCCTGCTAATTTGCCTGGGAAAGCAGCAGAAGATGGGCCAGGTCCTTGGGCCCCTGCACCCACGTGGGAGACCTGGAAGAAGCTCCTGGCTCCTGGCTTCGGATTGGCTCAGCTCCAGCCATTGTGGCCAATTGGGGAATGAACCAGCAAATGCAAGATTTGTCTCTCTCTGTCTCTACCTCTCTCTGTAACTCTTTCAGATAAATTAAATTAAAAATTGTCTTAAAAGAAGAATTACATATATAAGAAGTGAGAAGATAATTATAACTTATGCAACTAATTTCACACATTAAACAATGTGCTTTCTTATAGGAAATGACAAGGTTTGGAAAAATTTATTCCATATTCAAATTTCAAAAATTAACCCTGTTTTTAATTCTGAAGTTTCTTTCAGAGGTAGTAAAAGGTGAATGAATTAAGTTTTTTTCTTCAAACTAAAAAGGCATAAAGAAAATGTGTTTAATTTGTTTTATTTATTTGAAAGTCAGAAAGAGACAGAGATCTTCCATTTGTTGGTTCATTCCCCAAATGCCTACAACAGGCAAGGCTGGGCAGGTGGAAGCCAGGAGCTGGGAACTCCATCCAGGTCTCCACATGGTTCACAGGGATCCAATTACTTGAGACATCACCTGCCAGCTCCTAGGGTGCTCATTAGCAGGAAGCTGGAATTAGGAGCAGAGCCAGGACTCAAACCCAGACATTATAATACAGAATGTGGGCATCCTAAATGGCTTCATCTACTTCTTTACAGGTTTATTTACTTATTTCAAAGCAGAGTTACAGAGAGAAAGAGAGGTTTCCATCTGCTGGTTCACTACCCAAATGGCCGCAATGGCCGGAGCTGGGATGATCCCAAGCCCAGAGCCTGGAGCTTCTTCCAAGTCTCCCATGTGGGTGCAGGGGCCCAATGACTTGAGCAACCTTCCACTGTTTTCCCAGGCCACAGCAGAGAACTGAATGGGAAGTGGAGCAGTTGGGTCTCAAACCGGCACCCATATGGGATCCGGCAAAGCAGGTGGTGGCTTTACCCGCTACACCACAGCACAGGCTTCCTAAGTGGCTTCCTAACCACTGCACCAATGCCTACAAATGACATCATTTTATTTGAAAATAGAAATACATGTGTAGATTTCAGGATGCATGTATTTTCATTGTGACTTTTCTCAAATTATATTTCTTGTATTCATTCAACAAATATTTTCCAAAGCCAACTATGTGCCAGATATTATTCTAAATACTGGGAATATATAATAAGGAGCAAACTTATTAATTCCATGATCTCATGGACTTCACCTTCTACTCGGGAAAGGAACAATTTTTAAAAGTGAATTGAAATAATGTCAGTTGGTGATTAATGCTATGTAGAAAATGAGAAGTGGTGAGAGAATGAATGGGAGGGGAGGTTACTACACACAGCATGATCAGGGATGACCCTTCATAGGAGGTGATATTTGAGTGGAGATATAGGAAAGAAAAATCCATGTGAAAATCTGAAGAAGAAAATTCCCAGCAAGCATGAAATGCCTAAGGTAGCCACATCTTTATCAGACACTGAGTGCACTTTAGAACTTCTTATGAAAATAGAATAACACAGGTTAAGCAGCATTTGTAATTCAGCCCACATAATCTGATGGCCTTTCCCCCAAGACAATTTCCTAGAAAAAATTGTGAAAAATGTCAGATATTCTTTTCTAAAATTTAATGTCATATTGACACAGATCTTCATCATATGGTTTTCTGAGCAAATGAAGAATTGTAGGTTATAATTTTAGCTCTCTAAGAACAGTGATGCTCTCTTGGCCATTATTTAGTTACTGTTACTAAATAATATATGACCACCAAACATAATGGCTTAAAACAAACATTTGATTTTACCCATGATTTTGCAGATTAGAAATTGTGGAAGGGTTTCATCAGTCCTCACTTGGGGTCTTTCACGTTTGCCATCAGATGAGCTGCAGTCCTTGACTGGGCTGGATACTGAAGATGGCTCAGGCTCATGGTTGGCTCTCTGCTTTGGTTTTGCTTTTGTTCCTTAAGATTTATTTGTTTATTTGAAAGGTAGAGTAACAGAGAATAAGGGAGATACACACACACACACACACACACAGAGAGAGAGAGAGAGAGAGAGAGATCTTTGTTCTGTTTGTTCACTCCCCAAATAGCTGCAGTGGCCACAGTTGGGCCAGGCTGAAACCAGGACACAGGAATTTCATCTAGGTCTCCCATGTGGGTGCAGGAGCCCAATTCCTTGGGGATCATCTGCTGATTTCCTAGGAGCATTAGCAGGGAGCTGGATTGGAAATGAGGCAGCCAGGACTCAAACCAGTGCTCATTTGGGTTGCTGGCGTCATAGGTGATGGCTAAACCCCTACACCACAACACCGGCCCCTCATGGCTGGCTCTTGCTGCTGGCTGTCAACTGAGAGAGCTGTCAACCACAGCACCTATTCCAGGCCTCTTAAGCATGGCCCTGAGCATGGAAACCAAAGGATAGCTGGACTTCTTATGTGGCAGCTCAAAGTTCTGAACACAAGCTTTCCACTGGAGAGCGGAGAAGCTGCCTTGACACACAATGCCACTTTTGCATCATCATATTGGCAAGAAGAGAGTTGCCAAGGCCATCACAGATTCTAGATGGAATAAAGTGGTAGTTTCTTGATGGAAAGATTGCAAAAAGATTTATGGACATATGTTAAAACTGTCACATTATCACTGTACACAATAGCACTGCACAGATTATTTAGAGACAACATAGAAATACCAGATCTTCATCAAGAGTTCTATCAGTAGAATATCATTTAAGTCAATGTAGAGCCCCAAACCCAAATAGCTTGTAGAGGCTGTGACATTTCGCATTTTCCAAAAATGGCTGTAACAACGTGTCTGGTCCCATGTTGCTCTTAGAATTATGCCATTTCCCCACCAAAAGGTAAAATCTCTTTCTCTTGGCCTGGAATGTGTCTTTTGTGACAGCCTTGACACCCAGCAAAGGTGACACTGCATGAATTCCAAGGCCGGTTTACAAAAGGTGACATGTCCCCTTCCTGACCTTTTCTCTTGGGAATGCTCGTCACCATGCAGTGAGGAGGCCAGACTGTAGGTAGAGGCACAGCAAGGCACTCCTGCTGAAGCTGAGGTCTCCTAGGGCAGGCGGTGCTAACTGCAAGCCATCAGACGTACTCTAGTGCCTACCCATGAAGCCACCCCCAGATGAAGCCAAATGTAGCAGAGCCCAGCTGTCTCCTGACAAGTCTTTCTCCAGCTGAGACTCATAAGCAAACTAACATGCTAACCATTGAGTTTTGGGGTTGTTTGTTATAAAGCAATAGGTAACCAGAATGTGTGACTCTGGTGTAACCTACTAAGTAGTGCTGCAATTTAAACAAGCAAACAAAAAAAATTAACTTGCAAGTGAATTTTTATGCTCAAGAATAAGGCAGGAGAGGGCTGACACTGTGGCATAGCAGGTAAAGCCACCAATCATGATGCTGGCATCCCACATTGGAACTGGTTCGTGTCCCAGATGCTCCACTTCTGATCCAGCTCTCCATTAATGGCCTGGGAAAAGCAGCAGAAGATGGCTCAAGTGCTTAGGCCCCTGGTACTCTCATGGAAGACCTGGAAGAAGCTCCTGGCTCCAGGCTTCAGATCGGCCCATCACTGGCTCTTGTGGTTATTTGGGGAGTGAACAAGTAGATGGAAGATCTCTCTCTCTCTCTCTCTCTCTCTTTCTCTCTCTCTCTTTGTAACTCTGACTTTCAAATAAATAAATAAATCTTTTAAAAAAGGAAGCAGGAAATGCATTTCAGTTATTTCTTGAAGCCAATAGAAATAAAGGCAAATTATAGGTCCCCAAGCTTATCTCAATTATTAAACAAATCTACTGTGGGAAATACAAGTTTTAAAGTTCCATGTCACCAACAATAGCATTTTAGAGCATATTAATCTGAAACATGACACCCACTAGACTGACTTGAAAGTTCTTTCTTTGAGCAAATGTGTGTGTTCAAGAGGTAGTTATAGATCATCAACACTTTCATTCATTGAATAAACATTTATCAAGCTGTGTTTGTGTGTGTGTGTATGTGTTTAATTGGAGGGGTGGAGAATATGAGAGCAAGAGAGGCCACCCCCCTCTGCTGATTCAATCCCCAAAATGTCCACAACATTTGAACATCAATGAAGCCAGGAGCCAAGATCTCAATCTAATTCTCCCAAATAGGTGATGGAATCCCAATTACTTGATCTTTCACTGCTCTCTCCCAGCACCTGCAGCGGGAGGAAGTTGGAGTCAAAAATAGAGGTGAGACTACAACTCAGGAACTCTAATATGGATGGGTGTATCTTAACTAGCATCGTAACCACCAGCCACACGTTCATCTCTCTCAAGTGTTCATTGTATGCCAGGCACTGATCTAGGTGCTGAGAATACAACAGTGAACAAAACAGACTTTATTCCCTTCATGGAGCTGAGATTTGGGGAAATGAGTGCAGACAAGCAAATGATGAACAAATCCCTAAGTAAAACATATAATGTACCAGTTGTTGATAACTGGAGGGAAAAAATCAAAGGAAGAAGATAGGGAGTATAGGACGGAGGGAGGGTGATAATCACATATAGGGTGGA